ACTCTTTTACCAACGAAATAGTGGGATTGACCGTCACATTATAACGCCCCCACGGTTGAAAGGGCGAGCATGTTTGGTGGGACGGGGATTCGAACCCGCGACCCTCAGATTGCGAGTCGAGCGCCCTAACATGCCGGGCTATCACAAATGTTATAAAAAGACTGATCATTCTTATGAAAACAAAACAAAAATGTTAAATTGTTTAACATTTCAAAACAAAATATTTGCGGGGTTAAAATCGTCTAGGTCTGTAAAAACGTATGCATCAAAATGAGTAGTTTTTATTTTTAAATTAATGAACTTAAAATTTTTGTTAGAACAAATTTTGTCTATTTATTTCTAATTTAAAACTATCAGTTTTCCTTCACTAAGACCGGGAGTCTTCCGAAAGCATTCGTTTCTTAGTTACGTGTGATTATGTTACTATAAGAACTTACATTTGTAACCAGGTAACACTTTGCCAGTAGTTACTTAGCTGACGTCAATCATCCTGTACTTTCGTTTGTTATATATACACGAACTTATTTAATCAGATTTTTGTATTTTCAGTTACTGTTATTGTATAAACGAATGAACATAGCCTTTAAGAATAGAAAACGGTTTAATGTTAAGCGAACTAAGCCTTAATATATATACAGTACGTTAGCAGTGGTATAAAGTAATGAATACGGAGCAATATAGAAAAGTATCAAACACATGCATAAATACGACAGAAATGAACGATATAGACAATAGTATATTATTATTACTGTCCAAGGATGTTTGTTTGTAAGCACAAAGCTACACAATGGGTTATTTGCACTGTGCTCAACACGGGTATTGAAACCCGATTTTTAGCATTATAAGGTTTCATAATTATCGCTGAGCAACTAGAGAGCTATTCAAGGGTGTATAGAATGATTTTGAAAGCGGTTATTTCATATTCACTGAAGGATGTTTACAAGGATAGAGATAACAATTATTACATAATTATTATTAATTTTTAGGAAGATTCAGATATAGATATGTTATAATCCATTAATATAAGGATGATAAAGAGATTTATGAAACAAAAATTAAATATTAGTCATCAACTCATCATTAAGGACTAATTTTCAAGGTATTTGCAGAAAATTGGGAATAAAAGTTTAACTTACTAGAGTGTCTAAAAATTAGTCCATCTTCCCAGGTGTAGCAGTTTTCATGTTCTATATCACTGGCTCCGATCCAAAATGCATGAGCATGGCCGTATAACGAACTGTAAAAAAACAATCGTTTCGCTGCAGTCAAAGTTTAAGTACTTTTCACAGTAAGCTTACATACAATTCTTTAGATATTATTACAAGACTAAAGACAAATAATTTGGATATCTTACTTACTGATAAAGTGAGTAAATCCATAATCTAATTTCCCCGAAAGGGGGCTGACGACCGTCTGGAAGATCATTTGTTTTAACCACTCGCACCACTATACAGTAATGTGTTGTCTGTCAGACAATCAGTAGACACTAAAATGATGTCACATGAGGGACGCTTAACGTTGTAACTTGTACTGTCGTGACGTCAGTAAAACGTGCGCATGCCTTGAACCACGAGAGGAATTATGCACTCTGTAGGCTAAAGAACAGCATGGTACATATGAACTTCAAAAGCAAGAAATAAAAATATTTGTTACTCTTAATTTTGGCTTTATTTAGTCTTGAAATAGAAAACTTTCGGGGATCCTGCGGAGGTACATCTAGTACATTATAAGAACATCAGACCACAGGTTCTACCTTTTATTGCTTTGACTTAAAGATCAAGGTCGACTTATTTCAACCTAATAACGCATTCAATACTTCAACTAAAATTGCGTTTAAATCGATCAAACACTCATTTTGGAAATTTTGGTGACGTAGGAAAACAACAGATAACACTAACCATCTCTATCATTAGTGGAGGACGTTAGTAGATTAGTTTGATATTCTGGTAATACAATGAATAATACTGTATGCCAATTCTACGATTAGATTTCATGGCTAATGATTTTTATTGAATTTTCATTGTGACTCATGTTTACATATGGGCTATTATTATTGGGTCGAATCATTCTGTACAATTTTAAATAGTTTCTATCTTTTTAGAGCCAGAACCACTTTTTGGTGAGCAGTCTTAAATAAGGAGAACAATTGGTAGATTAAACTAGTTATGGGGAAATTAGCCGTTTAGAGCACAGGTTGCACATTTAATTATGCACACATTACAGATCATGGAACATGGTTATTGAGGAGGAAAGAAGAAAGTTTACTGGAAAGGACGGAAATGAGAATATTACATTGGACGAAAGGATAGGATTACGAGTGATGATATTAGAAAGTAGACTGGGGTATGTAAGATAACAGAAAAAAGCACTTGAAGCTAGACTGAGGTGGTATGGGCACGTGGAAAGAAGGGAGGAAAATAACCTGGTGAGAAGAATATTTGTAATTCCAGTCGAAGGTAGACGGACGTCAAAATCTGAGATGGAAAGATAAGATAGATCAAGACATGAGAGAGACAGGTGTAACGCCGGAGGTCGTGAGGATAGAAATTATTAGAGAAGGTCATCTTGAACGGCCGAGCCCAAAAATAGTGGGATTAAGGTCGAAGGAAAAATATTATTACACATCGTGGGAACAATAATATACTGAACGTAGATTGTGGAAACAATAATAAGTAGAGTATAGTCTGTATGGATTTTTTTTTTAAAGATTATACGCTTGAGAAAGCATTTTCTATAGGTAGAGTACAGTGTGTGAAGAAATATTTTTGAAAAACAGTACAGGTTGTGAAAGGATTTTCTGTAGGTAGAGTACAGTGTGTGAGGAAATATTTTTGAAAAACAGTACAGGTTGTGAAAGGATTTTCTGTAGGTAGAGTACAGTGTGTGAGGAAATATTTTTGAAAAACAGTACAGGTTGTGAAAGGATTTTCTGTAGGTAGAGTACAGTGTGTGAGGAAATATTTTTGAAAAACAGTACAGGTTGTGAAAGGATTTTCTGTAGGTAGAGTACAGATTGTGAGGACATTTTCTAGATGTCATGTGTAGCTCAAGTTGTAGGGAGATTTGCTAGATGTAGAATACAAGTTCTGAGAACATTTAATCTACGTGTCAAATACAGATTGTGAGGACATTTTCTAGATGTAGAGTATAGTTTGTGAGGACACTTTTTATAGAGGTATAGTTCCTGGTTTTGAGGATATTTTCTAAATGCAATGTAGAGTATAGATTGTGCACACATATATTTATCACTATCGGAGAAACAACGTTGCTGGTCTCCAAGGCATTCTTAGCTATTAATTGTATAACTTATAAAGGGGAAAAATCATGATATATGTAATGTCCATATTTCTTTTGTTTACTTATCATTATGAGAGTGTAAATAACGTGTATTTTTGTACGAAATCATTAGCAGATATTATTATGAGAGTATAAACAACGTTTATTTTTGTACGAAATCATTAGCAGATATTATTATGAGAGTATAAATCACGTGTATTTTTTACGAAATCAGTAGCGGATATTATGAGAGTATAAATAACATGTATTTTTGTACTAAATCATTAGCAGGAATCAGTTAGCTGTCATTTATTTTTACATCGTTAAAGTTAGGTTCTAGCTAAAAGTTCATAATTTTGATTTTTTTTTCATATTTGTCACCAGGTGTCAACTTCATCAATTTTTTTATATTTACAATATTACAGTTAATTGACAACTCTATCAACTTCCTGTTCCTACTATGTTAAAATAAGGTCATAACTAACAACTTTTCAACTTCCTGTTTTTATTATGTTGAATTAAGGTGCTAGTCGTTCCTAATTATGAACTGCTAGAATAAAGGGAAGGTAGCTAGTCAATACCAATCGTCAACTTTTAAGATACTCTTGTCTGACCGAACAACGTCATTTGACCGTCACCTTTATAACGCATCCACAGCAGGAAAAAATAAATAAACATTATGACAGATCCAAATTTAAAGGATATAAAAACAGAAAACATGTCGTCACAACAGGAAAAGAGGATGTGAACATTACGATAAACCTAGTTGTTGAAGCACATGGGCTATCTCATCAATTGAAGAGTGAAAACGTATATACAAATCAAGAGACTCTCAACGAACATGAATATATATATATATAATATTAACCAATGAAAAAAGGAATTGTTAAATATAATCAAGAGAGATCCGGTTGTTCTCTTTAAAGTATTGCTTGATTAGCATTTTTAACTTCTGGATATTTTTAATTTATGTTCAGTCATTCTTCTTGATAAATCCTTATAGATTGAAACATGCGAAAAAAGTGATTATTAAAGATGTATTCCTACTTGATCAAATGTATGACTCTCAAATTATTAATTTTGGTGTTAAAGGCAGTGAAGTTTATTATGAATTTCGGGGTCTTCTCTTTGGACAGTCTTCCTGGTTTTGACTTTGTTGGCTTGCTGAGCTGAAGAAGTGGGCTTTAATTTGGGAATTTTCAAAAATGAAAAGTGCTGCGGGTAAAACATGCGGGTTATTATAGAGCTGTAGCCGAGGGTTCCGATTGGACAAAATTTGGTGTTGTTGCGTCACTGTATCTCCTTGAAAACCAAACAAACGTAATGGGGAATTTCCGCCAATTATTATGATTTCTGTGCGCCAGCAATACTAACCGCGGGGCGCGTATACCAATCTACCCTTAAATCTAATTACACAGGCCTGCGATGGTTTTATTGTCTTGAATTTTTCACATGTTCTACGGTAATTCCCGTACGCTGAATCCGAAAATGATATCCATTTTTTTCCGTCACGTACAGATTTTTCATAAAACTTCATAACGCAATACATAAAAAAAAACACAACGCGTAGTTTTGAGACTAAAAAGAAGTAGATTTCACAAAAAATCAGGATGAATGAGAATGCATATTTGTTTGACATCAATGTTCTTCCCTTTTCTTCAATTTGTTTGAATTTTTGTTAACAAACATAATAATACAAAATATTCATTATGGTAAACTAAATAATAATTTGATCCGAGTAAGAGTTTTTATCTCTTCTCGATTTGTAAAAAAAATCCTTACGTGATAGAATAAAATGAATATTATTTTCGAATTCTGCGTAGCTGAATTATGGGAAATCCGTTATTAAACCCAAAACAATTTTTATGAAGTTTAAATTCGCAGGCCTGTGTTATATGTCCAAAGTAGCGCAACGTCCGTTGCCGGAATAATTTTACAAATACAAATCTGTTTGTCGCGGCAGAAAGCGCCGTCGTTTCTTGTAAGTTGCGTGTCGATCGGTTTTTGACCTGCGCAAGCAATGCCATGGAATGTATATTAATGCCACTCAGCAAACCTGAAAGAACTGTCACTTATTAAGCGAAAACAAATATATTAATAAACGTCTACACTTTGATACTATAAAAACGTTTAGTAGTCGATGAAACTGGCCCTGGAAACAAGATTGCTTAATGAAACTGAGCCTGGGAAACAAAAGTACTCGCTGATATTTTAAAATAGAAACGAAAATAGTCGTTGAAACCGAATTATAAACGAGAAAACCTACTGAGATAGTAAATGTAAACGGAAACACTCGCTGAAATGTAACCACGGAAACATGAATACTCAATGAAATTGAAAGTGGAAACGAGATTACAGATTACACGCTTTATATATATATTAGAATATTTGCTGAATCTGGAAAAGAAAACAAATAATAATCGGTGAAACTGGAAACGAGTGTACTCTACACGAGGGCTAGCAATCCCTAACTTAGCAATGATAGACTAGAGGAAAAGCAGCTAGTCAACACCACCCACCGTCAACTCTTGGGCTACTCTTTTGGTAGAACAACGAAGAATGGGATTGATCCAAACATTATAACGCCTCCACGGCTGACAGAGCGAGCATGTTCGGTGGGACGGGGATTTGAAGCCGCAGATTACGAGTCGAGTACTTTAACCACCAGACCACGAAACGTAGACTGAATGTTGAAAACATCAAATTATAAAATTTTCCGGACTTTTACATCACAGTTTTACTTTTGTCAAACTCTTAGCGTTCAGCTCTATCGCCTAGTTAAGCCTGTCCCCCCAGTGGTAACTTTACGGAATTACAACGCTGAAATCCAGGGTTTATTTCCATGCGGGGTACATAATACAGATAGTCAACTGTGTAGCTCTGAGATACGAAATCAACAGCATATGTTTTATTGGAACATTGTATAGTAAAATCAGTAATCAATCTGTGATGTAAATGTCAAAATACTGAATAATTGAGAAAATAACGAAGTTTATATTCTATTTTTGGTAGTTCTATAAGTATTAAGTACCTTTGGAAATCGGACTCGTAAGATGTCATCAGATGGCTCATCATTTTATTACACAATTACACGGGTTTATGTTCACTATATTAGTTTCGATAAAATCTCGAAATTCTAAACAAGCTGAGAGAATCGGATAAATAAAAACGTATTTTAGTTTGTGACGTTCATCACAGAATATTGACGTAATCATCAACTCATGCGGTAGTTTGCAAATGGGAAGTTTTTAGTAATTATGTTGTAAGGGATAAAACCTGCACAAGAAAACACAAGACCAGAGTATCTGTAAAACCTTGTTACTAGTGTCCCTTGTAGTAGTTTTCAAGTATGCGTTACAGCAGTCATTTAAACACTGCTACTATATGACACATTTGTATTTTTAGAACATTTTATTTTTCAAGGAACACATTCCCGTCAAAAGCACACTTTAAGTGACGTCAATTATTCCATTGATATATTCAATGATGCAAAACTAATTACACACATACACATGTTTAAAATGGAGTAAAATATGTTGTAAGAAGTTACTCACCAACGTTTTACACGATCTGAAGTCTATTGTTATATCTAATTTTTTGGCAAAACGCATATTTTTACGCGCATGCATAATAATTCATGTTTTAAATCCTATCATGCAAGGAAAGCAAAACTCAAACACTTTTATGTCTAATGATTAGCATAACTTTATCATTTCCTGGTGGACGCTTTATGAGTGATCGTAATTTGTATACCAAATTATAAATTTCCGTCTTTCGATGGTAAGTTAAAGCTGTTCAAATGGATTTTTTGTGATATTCTTTTAACGCCTCTAACTCATTATTGTGACCCGAGTCCTAAATTCCAGTCTATAATTCAAGGGTCGAGCGTGGCCTAGTGGACAGCGTGCAGGACTGCGAATCGAAAGGTTCAGGATCGTCAGCGGTGCGCTGAACACAATTGCCATTTTCAGCTCTGGATGCATTATAAGCGTGACAGCTAATCTCATTATTCAATTCAAATCGGGGGGAGGGGGGGGGTATTCTACTGATACTCAACCAGAATTGATAATGGTTCCTTTCGGAATTTCAGGGAGAGTGCTTTCTTTTTTTTTTTTTTTTTTTGGAAGCTGGAACTAAGTTTCTTTATTTTTTCTATTTCTTGGCACTTCAATTTGAATATTATATTAAGAGATGTCATTAACTTGCAGAAAGCCTGATACTCCTCACACTTTGAGGCCATGTCCTGGCATCAAGGGAGTACATTTACTTCTTTAAGGAGAATTTCACCGACACTTCACAGTCAGAAAATTCGAAAGATGTGATGTTACTGACTGACCGCCTTTCATCTGGTCAGCGTTTCATATTAGGGAGGGAAATACCTGAGCCTTAAGATTCCCTGACCTGGCCGTTTAATCTACATTTCACCAAGGTGGTGTTCAAATTGAAAATAGCACTAATGATATCCAGCTAATTTAATAAGTTCCGCCTATTGATTGACTCACTCTTCTTTTGTTGAATATGAAATGAGTCATTATACCATTAATACATATTAACTCTTTTTACTTCTAGAAGCACGCCACGCTTTAGTGAGTAAAAGTCTTAATCAAAAATTATAAATTAAAACTCACATCCGGCATTCCATTAAGTTAGTAAATGGTTCAAAAAATATCAAATAAACTTTAAATAAACTAAGACACGAATTTCGGTCATCCAAAACTTGACCTAACTGAATATTTTATTAGTTTATTCTCTGTCTTTTGCTCCAAGTAATTCCAAAAAATGTGTTAAAAATTTATCAAATAGATTATGTAATAAATAAACATTAATATGCGTTTGTTAATTATGAGGCAGATTATATAAAAAAAATCTACACACCTGGTTTTAATCAAAGTCTCTAAAAAAGACTGAATATCGTCTGTAGAGATCGTCGCCAGATGGCCTCCCAAGCTTATACAACGATTCTTTGCTGATTGCCAATTCATGTACTGATCAAGAAGTTGATAACAATAACTTCCTTTTACAGTCCATGGATATTCACAAAATGTGTTGTTTTGAGTCAAAGGAATTGCATGGAAATTGACACAAAACCCTCTAGCTTCATTAACTGAGGTTGTAATAGCATTTAGGTTAACTGTTATGTTCATGTTGTAACTGCCTGAGCGAAAGCGCAAGTCTTGAGTCACTTGCTCATCTTGTCTTCCACATAACCTTACTACTCTGTCTAAACTTGAAATTTCAATAAACTCTTCCAGACAGCCTTGTTCTGACTTTACAGTGGACGACGATGTTTCGAGGAAGCTAAACTCTAAGTCTATTTCGTATCCAAAAGGCACATAAAAAGCATAAAGGCAACTTTGCTTACTTACGAAGGCATAAGGATAGTCTTGGCTACAAATAGTGCCATTCTGTTGTGTTATTGTCACATTTCGACATTGTTTCGAAGAACGGAACTTCAAAAGAAATCCTTTTCCTTGAGTCATTCCTTTGGTGCGAAAATGCACATTTAGCGTCTCATGTTGAGACTCAAGAAGTTTATTCATACTTAAGTTACTGGAATTTCCGCACAGGAACACTTCTTTCTTTTGTTCCAAAGGAAAAACACGAACATAATCTTGAGCACATTGTCTTTGCGCATTTGTAGAATACAGGTCAATCTCTACGACCGTAAGAAAAATTTTGTATCCAGGTGGCGCTTTGATATGGTAGAAGTAGTCTTTTCCTGGTAAATATTTTTCGGGAAAGTTTGGACTTGTTAGGATTCCTTGAAGAGCATCCACAGAAACGTTGCAATCTGAAATTTTAAAATAGCAAAGTTTCAAGTGTTTCTTGACTATTCACAAAGAACTAGAATAACATTAGCTGTTGCGTTTCTGATTGATCTGAGCAACAAATAAAATGCTATAAATGTTACCCTTCTAACCAAGCTAATTAATATAGAATGTATTAAATGTTACCTCTCTAATCGATTTATCCGATGTCAAACACATTAACTGTAACGACCCTGATTGATCTGACTAAGAAAGATAACTTGTACGTTTCTGATCGACCTGACTAGCATATAAAAAAAGTTAACTAATACTTTTCAATCATAAGCTTACTTAAACAGGTTAGTGAACTAAAACTTTGTAAAACTATGATAAACTAGAGGGACACTCAGCAGACTGCATACCTCCGCTACGCAACGTTGATAATATTCGGCCCTCAAAAAAATGCTAAAATGTGTCCGTATGTTCGACGTTATCAACGGACACTGACCATTTTTGGCAAGACAATGAGTAGTAATATTCTACATATGTACACCAAGTTTCATCAAAATCTGATCATTTTTGACTGAATCTTAGAGCAAAAATCGGTCCCAATGTTAACAGATAGGGATTTTTTTTTCTTTTCGTGACCTTTACCTTTGATCTTGACCTTCCAAAAACTAATCACTTCTAACTTTGGTCATAGTTCAAATGTATAACATCTTTAGTCCAAATACATTCAGCCGTTCGAGAGAAATCTTGGTGATAAACACACACACACACACACACAGATGAAAATATAACCTCCGTGCACCTTTGGTGGCGGACGTAATAATCGTACAGTTCTAAAATATAAATCTCAGTAAATTTATAGTTATGAAAAACTTAGTTTATCATTCATTATCTTCAGCTCTACTATATCCATAAATTAATACAAATCCTAGTTGATTAGTTCCAAACTAATTAGTCCGAATCCTAGTTGATTAGCTACAAACTAATGTATAGAAGTAAAAATATAATAAAGAGTATTTTTAGAAATATGATGCACGAGACAAAAAAAAAATAGAATTGAGGTCTCGAACTTTGTAATCAAATTTATCTAAAATCTACGTCATTGGAATCGTCGTTCCATTTTCAACAAACCAGTCAACTACCATTAGTAGATAGGGCTAGTAACTTTCTTAAGCTGAGATTATAAAGCCATCACGTACTAACATTTGGTATTTCAAAATCATTTGTACAACAGAAAAATATCAGTTTTCAACTTTTCAATTAGTCTGTTTATATTTCATAATATTCACAAAGATAGGTATAAGTTTACAAAGTTAACTTGCAGCTGTATACTAAAGTCCAAGAAAAGCCTATTGTTTTTCAAGTATCTTATGATTAACAATAAGTCAATGGATGAATTCGTTACGTTACATTCAGGCCTTAGTTTGCGAATTTACGATGTTTCTCTGATAAATTACTGCTCCAAATTCTAATGTTTGAATTATTTTTTTGTTTTTTGGTTAGGTGTAAATAATTATATTTAAAAATATTGTGTCTTTTGTATTTTGGGGGGGGGGCACTGAACGGTTTCAGTGCTACATGGATTTTTTCCACAATGTACGGTTTCAATGCTACATGGATTTTTTCCACAATGTACGGTTTCAGTGCTACATGGATTTTTTCCACAATGTACGGTTTCAGTGCTACATGGATTTTTTCCACAATGTACGGTTTCAGTGCTACATGGATTTTTTCCACAATGTACGGTTTCAGTGCTACATGGATTTTTTCCACAATGTACGGTTTCAGTGCTACATGGATTTTTTCCACAATGTTGTTTATCACTTTTTGTATCTTAAAATTTATCCTTAGTTTAAGATTTCCTAAATATATATTTGTAACTCACATTGTAACGTACCCAATTACGGAAAACAAAAAAAACTATATCAACTGCATCATGATTTTCTAATTAATTGTAAAAATTCAAATATAGTTCACAAATTTGTTAATTTTAGAGTTTCAAGTAGTCAGTTTTAAATTTCAAAACAGTATAAAAATGTTTAATAAACGGAGAGACTAAACAAAAGTTAAATGTTTACAAGACTATTAAAATAAATTTGAAGAAGCTTCCTTAAATTTAAAGGCACAAATGAATAATATTAATCATATTCACTTAAGTAACTAGGTTTAAACCTAAAACAATAAGTTATTAAATATATGTAGACAGAAACACTTGATTAAATTAAGTCAGTTAAGAAAACAACAAATTGGAAACTATTTTTATAGATGCTCCTAATGAAGTTATTTTTTATTTTTTTGATTATATAATGAAATAGAAAAAAAGTGATATTCAGTGGTTTGAATTTTTCTGTACCTCCGTTGAAACTTAAATATGAAAATCATCTTCTTGTACTTGAGTTAATGTTACAAAATGTTTTTAAATATTAGATATTGTCTAAAAAAAAGAATCATTTCATAGTATTAGAGCTAAAATAAGTGGTACTGTCCTAAAAAATTCCCGGTGGAACAGCGGTAAGTCTCCAGATTTACAACGTTAAAATCAGCTGTTCGAGTTCGATTCCTTTCGGTGGATATAGCAGCTAGCTTTGTTATAAGAAAAACACACGCACCTAACGAATTTAAATAATTATAGTTATGATTTTAAATATAATAATCCTAGTAGAGAAGAGATTATAACTTTAATAGGTTTGAATAAAAATTTAAATAGATTTATATTAAAACCAGATTGTTGTTCTACTTAACAGATCTAATTACAATTTAAATGTTCAAAACATTTTAAGTGATAGTACTAAATTTTTTAATTTACAAACGAACCTACAAAAACTAAATCGTAAAAATATATCTTACAATAAAAAAAAGACAATATACTGACTGAAAAAAGAGTATTTTATAATAAGATCATGTGGTACTCGTACTGGTATTTCAGATGGTATTCCTAAAGTTCATAAATAAGTTTGTTCTGTTATACCTATTACCTCAAATATTCGAACTTATGATCATGAACTCGCTGGTTTTTAATGAAATATTTGGACCCATTTATACATAATAACTATACTGTGAAAGACAGTTTTGTCTTTTTAATGAAATGCGAAGTTGCGGTTTGATAGTATTGTATATTTTGTCAGTTTTGATATAAAATCTCGCATTTTGACAGGATCTTAAACGTAGGTGAGTGTATTAATATCTCATTGTTTCGCATGGAGTAACCTTTTGTACTAGATTTGTTGTTACTTAACAAATTTGCATGTTCTTGTACGCGTGTTTACAACCATCGAGTGGTAGACCAAATATATCTAGAGCTCCATCTAGGACATTTCATGATCCTCATGATAAATCAGTTCAGTAGCTAGTTGTAGTGTTTCTTCCAAGAGGATGTTAGTATTCAAACAATGAGATATTAATACACTCACCTACGTTTAAGATCCTGTCAAAATGCAACAATGAGATATTAATACACTCACCTACGTTTAAGATCCTGTCAAAATGCAACAATGAGAGAAGTTTACATGGCAAGTAATATTGTTGATTCGCAAACTAAAGCCTTAATTAAAAGTAACAAATTCATCTTTGACATCTTGTTGAAAATATAATTTTCTGCCTGCTCGTAAGTGATTACTAATATCTCTTTTTTTTAAATAGTAGATATCATTTTTTTTCTGTTCAGCGCAGTTTCTGAGTATAATTCGGTTAAACTGCTCCAATTGTGTGACATTATGATAAAACGACGTGCCTGTATGTGTGTGACACCATGAGAAAAGAACCTAAAAACCTGAAATTTTGCACACATGTTAAGTTGACCTTGAGGGTGTGCACCTGGGTATTATTACTTATCCACGTGGTGTGCATCTTTTTATGAGGCAAGATAACGAAAAACCAAATAGAAAAGAAGTGTGACTGCCATAGCTCTATAAGGAAAGATCCTAGAAATCTGAACTTTTGCACCAATACTAAGTGGACCCCGGGGTGTGCATCTGGGTATTACTTAATCTTATCAAGTTTTGTATCCATATTAAGTGACCCTTGAATATAGGTATTAATTATCTTATCCACGTGCATGCGCGCGTGCGCATCTTTTTTAATGAGTCAAGCTAGCAAAAAGCCACATAGAAAAGAAGTGGTTCCTTATATTACAAATAGAAATCGCAGACAGACACGCATGTGTGTGCACGTGCGTGTCTGTGTATGTACGTCCGCCATAGTTCCAAGAGGAAAGAACCTAGAAACCTGAAATTTTGCATCCATACTAACAGGACTCTGAGGGTTTGCACCTGGGTGTTATTACTTATCTACGTGTGTGCGTGCATGCGTGTTCGCATCTTTTTATGCGAAAAACCACATAGAAAAGAAATGTGACCATCATAGCCCTAGGAGGAAAGAACCTAGAAATCTGTAATTTCACACCCATACTAAGTGGACCCGTGAGTTTGTTTGTTTGTTATTTAGCACAAAGCTACACAATGAGTTATCTGTACTCTGACCACCATGAGTATCGAAACCCGGATTCTAACCTTGTAAGTCCGCAGACATACCACTGTGGCACTGGGGGGCGGACCCGTGAGAGTCTGCACCTAGATATTATTACTTATCCACGTGAGTGCACGCATGCGCGTGCACATCTTTTTAATGAGACAAGCTAACGAAAAACCACATAGAAAAGAAGCGGTTCCTTATATTTCAAATTATGGATATAAATCACAGACAGACAGACACGCACGGGCGTGCGTGGGCATCTTTTTAATGAGGCAATATAACGAAAAACCACAGAGAAAAGAAGTGGTTCCTTATATAACAACTTCTATATATATATATAGAAAAGCCAGTGCGTTTTGGTAACAATGCGTTCCAACAATGGCTTTTATATCATGTTGCTTAGCAGTAAAAGTATAACCTAATGTTCAGAGGTTATGTGCTGAAAGTATAAAATGAAATGTATAAACTACAAAATTGAAAAAAAAAATGTTATTTTCTAATTTAGAGGCTCCGTTAATTAAAGAGGGTTGTTTTTATGTTATTTGCTTTTATTATTTAAGTTAAAATCGGAGGACAAGCCAGAGGGAAGGTTACCTTTATGAACAGGCCACATCCCGTAAAGGAGCAACAAAAGTATATAGGTTATACTTTTAAAATAAAATGGGTTCAGAATACACACACTGACATAGTCATATAGAATAAATCAACCTAATAACCCGAACGAAGGTACTTTCGCTAGTAGTAAAAAATATTTCATTTGGTTTGTTACCGATGGCTCAGCTGTAAGCCTAAGATCGTATGCTTATTCCGCTAAAAATCGGGGTTCGATCCTGTAGTAGCCGCTGTGGTGTAGATTTACATAACAAACAAGACATTAAGTGCATTTCTCATTGTGTTTATTCTCAACAGAATAAAGCAGGTTTTTAAGAGTAAGTTTCCCACATGAAAAATAGAGAGAGACAGTATCTTGTTTTAGAAATGCTTTTACTAAAAAAAAAATGTTTCCAGTAAAACGAAATAAAGTTGTTTTTGTTATTTCCTAGAGATAAAAAAAATAACATCTGACAGTTTGAAGGTTTTTTTTACCTCTTTAAGCTTCCTTAAAATTTTTTTTTACTTTTTTTTTACAACTGTGTATTGACTGTACTACTTCTAACTGGTAATATAAACTATGAAGACTCGTTACTCTTAGAAAATAATGACCACGAGACCGAGGGTTGTTAGATGGACAGTTATTCTTATGAAATCTCCAGGGATTATATTATAAATAGCTCCTTGAACTAAAAGCTACTTACTTTCAGCATTGTCTAATGGAGAAAACACAGCCCAAAATCGGCAATCCTCGCACATGTACACCGTCAAAAGAAAATAGCAACCAATGGCAACAAAGAAAGGTTCGTTTTTGTAACGGTTGGTGGCGCTGACTATGTGTTCAGATGAATTCTCGCCTTCAACAGTTAGACGAAGCCAGTCACTATGTGTCGCTGGAGAGGTTAGATTTAAAAGCTGTAAAAATAAAATAAAACCACCTATGATAGTTAGTTTAAATCGACTCTTAAGATTATAAAATTATAATATGATATTTCGCTATGCTTAATACGAAAACTAATTCTAAACGTATTTAAGAATAACTTACTTTAAAGCGAGTGTGTTTATTTAATATTTGACCATTATAACAAATTTTCTTTTCAGCGTAATCTTTATCTTCTTGAAATGGATATATCATGAGTATTTTATATCTAATTTTATTTCAAAAATTTGAACACAAGAATTGTGAAAAAATTTACTACTAATATTCAAACATTTTCTAGTTAAATCAGAAGATAGGCATGCTTTCCATCATACTTGTCCTTCTGTCTGTTTTAACCCAATACCTTAAATAAAATAGAAGAAGAACTGCAGAAATGTCACGTAAACTGCGTAATTTGTTAACAGTCGTTGTCTGAAATTCACTGGCTTTTTTAGATATAAAATAAAATGACAAACTGCACATTGAAAACAAAACGAATAGAGAAGATAATTTTAGTTCTAAACAATAATTTGCTGGTATGTAAAGACGTTTCTCGTTGTTAACAAATAACTGCCTGTGTCCCGAACAGCTGTGTTCAATACCCGCGGGGGCTTACTGAAACTCACGCGACGCAAGAGACAGCATGTCAAAGAAATTACATCCAAAAAAGCTGTAGAGCTTTAAACTCGTAGAAGGCATCACTACTGTTGATTTTGTAATATAGCTGACACACACACACACAGAAAATAATTTTATACAATGCAAGTCATAGTAAATAATTTATTAAATATGTATCATTCCGAAACAAAAATTCACAGCATATGTATTCACTTCTACCATATAGAAGTTAGTTGAAATTTGTTACGAACCTAAACTTGAATTGATATGACAAATTTTTATAAAATGAATGTAACTTTAAAGTTATTTGTTTTGTAGAAGCGTAAAGCTGTACAATAGGCTATCGACAATGTACCCACCACAGGGATTGAATCCAAAATTTTAGCTTTAAAATCCTTAAAGGTTTCTGTTCACCGACCTAGGGAGAGAAATAAAAATAGACATGGAAACCTTGTAAGTCGAGTGCAAGATTTCGAAGCAATAAATAAATCGTCTCTGTATTAGAAGCTCTTTCAGATGATTAGCAAGTAATATCTGCTAACACCATAGTTAGCTATTCGAGGGGAAGGGGAGGTTGAAGATAATCTGAGCTTTGTTTAGATTGAAGAAAAATGAAGAAAATTAGAGTTGACTTTTAAATTGAGCCTGCGTAATGGAGAATGATATTTGAACTATAAAACTAGACCTTCAATAGCTTTATATGACAGTTGTTAGGTGATTTGACAATGTGCATTTAATTGATCACGAATTTTCGAAGAGAAAATGTACAGTGAACGATACTTATACATTAATTTAAAGAACAAATTCCAAGAGTTAAAGAGTAAGTAACTAGGCAACATTAAAAACAATATTATGGAATAATTATAAACATCAGTAATTGAGCGACAAGGAGTCGTTGTACAGTTATAGCGGCGATTAAGCGTGTTTGAATAGGGCTTCCATTGAAAGTGATAAAAAAGTAAAGCATTGAAATATTTGGAGAAGATTTTGATGACCCAGTCTTTAAGAAGCTTCTCTCTCCCTCCCTCTCTCTCTCTCTCTCTTTTAGAAATAAGAGATTTAGTAGGGAAAAAAAATGTAGTAAAATTGAGGTAGCGTAACAAACAAATCATCACAAACTGATTAGTTTGTTTACTGATAGCAGTGGAGAGGAAAGAATAGTTTGTCAAAGTTGAGTAGATAAGTTTTTGAAAGTAAGGGAAACGAAAATGGAATTATTGGAAGGAAATGTAAAACACCGTATTCTAAAGCACCAAAAAAAAGTGAGGAAAAAAATTAGATCACGCATAGAAGAAATGGAATCCACCTGGAATGAGAAGAGTATACAAAATAAATTATAATTTTTACAATAAGCTAAATACAGTAAAAAAAAACAGAATAAAGAAGTAAAATACACGATTGAAGAATTCGAAAGCAACTTTAGACAAAGGGGATGAAAATGGAAAGACAGGAAAAAGATGGAGTTTCAAGCAGAAATTCAGGATTTAAGTAAAAAGTTAGTAGGATCCTTAGAAGATTGGGGAATTAGAAAATGGGAAATAAGATAAAATTTGCTATTGAAAGAAATGAAGAGCATGAAAAAGAAACCAAAAAATAGATTAAAGAACAGGTACAAACATTAGGAGAGAAGACGTACGGATTCTTCCCATTACAAATTGCTCGAGCGCACGAGAAGAAATGTAAAGAAGAAAGTGACCGAGTCCTGTAACAGTTAAATTTGAGCAAGAAAAAGAACAGGAATTTCAAAGTTTGAAAAACTATATTGAAGAAGACTACTCAGCAAGAAATGTAGAATTATCAGAAAGAAACTGTTTGAATTCATCAAAAGAGAGAAGGGGAGGAAGATACGTGTGGCAGATGATGAAAAATATTGTGAATCAGAAGATGAAAGTTCAGAAGTGGTGATTACAAGAAAAGCATAAAACTGGGAGAAAGGGATATAAGGTTGATAAATGGCGAACAAGAAGCAAGGAAATATTGTGAACAAAAATAGCAGAAGAGGAAATAAAAGAGGCGGTACAAAAGTGGGATATAAAAAAATAAAGAGGTCAGCACAATACAGAAAATGGAAAATGAAAGAAGAAAATGTACAAATATTAGAGGGGATTTTGACGGGATTAGTTAACAAGAATAAGAATTTTGGGGAGTATATTTAGAAACATGAATTGGGGATTCCAATTTCAGTGAATAAAAGAATTAATCTGTGAATGACGTACGATCTAATCTTTTTTTTATTTGCTACTCCTTCTGCAGTAAACTGTAGTTTCGCCAATTCACGACTCCTCAGTACTTGAAGTAATTTACTACATATCTCAACAATGTTTATCTCGGGCTTCAACTTATGAATAAGTAAGCTTTCTTTTATTCGGAAGTTCTGTTCATCATTGGTCCTTGCCAAGATTTTAAATCAATTGGAATAAACAACAACGTCACATTATCTTAGGGCTTGTTTAAATACAATTGTCTTAATGAAGAATCTTATGCTAGCGTGTTCTTTAATTCGCGCTAACAGTCTTTTAAGTAGAACCAATGTAGTCTTGCTGACAGCAAGGACAAGTAAATTTATACACCGTATATGATGATCGTATAGTCAGAATATGATCCTTAAATCTGTAATAAAACCATAGGCTACAATTAAGTTTAAACTCACATCTTAATTGCATCTATAGATACATTTTTCTGATGATGTTTTTCAACTGATTATTAATGATTAAATAATATTTACTAATGTAGGGTGGACAGGAAGATATTGTTACGACAGCGGGTGTCACGTGACGCTAGTAACACGTCATGAACTTCTAGAAGGATCCTGTCCCTTCCTAAAGTCTCGAGAGGTTACTAGATATGCGGTTGTCTTGTA